AGACACCACCTGAAAGATGGCAAGCAAATTGTTTTTAGCACAGATGTTTTGGTCATGCTTGCACTGTTAAGTAAGAAAGAATCTTTATTGTCATTGCACATCAGGTATACAATGAAATTACAGTGCATCTGTGGCCAGTGCATAATAATATAATAAATATATAAACTATAAAAGATAAAAAAAATAGAAATAAGTTAAAAGATAAAAATAAAAAATAAAAGAAGAAGAGGGAAGTAAACTATATATACACACCACATTTACACATCATAGCGCACACACACTATATGAGTTCAGTGACCTAATGGCCCAAGGAAAGAAACTGTTTTTGAGTCTGTTTGTCCTGCTCTTAAGACACCTGTATCTTCTGCCAGAGGGCAGGAGATTGAACAGGTGCTGTCCTGGGTGTGAGAGGTCGGCAGTGATTGACCTAGCTCTTCTGAGACACCGCGTGCTGGCGATGTCTTCTAGCGATGGTAGGGAACTGCCAGTGATGTATTGAGCTGTCTTTATGACCCTCTGCAGGTTCTTTCTGTCCGCCACTTTGCAGTTGGCATACCAGGTCGTAATGCCATACGTCAGGACACACTCAATGGTGCTGCAGTAAAAGGCCACCAACAGTTTCTCCTCCAGATGGTTCCGTCTGAGTATCCTTAGGAAGTGTAGTCGCTGTCGAGCCTTTTTTTACTACTGCAAGTGAGTTAGCAGTCCAGGAGAGGTCATCAGTTATGTGTGTACCAAGGAATTTATAGGAGGACACCCGCTTAACACAGTCCCCATTGATGCTCAGTGGGGCTGGTTCCCCTTTATGTTTCCTGAAGTCTATGACCATCTCCTTAGTTTTGCTGGTGTTAAGCAGCAGGTTGTGTTCGAGGCACCAACCTGCCAACCTGTTAACCTCGTCCCTGTACGCAGACTCATCCCCTCTGCAGATGAGGCCAATGACCGGAGTGTCATCCGCAAATTTAATGATGGTATTGGAGGGGTGGATGGGTGTACAGTCATGCGTGTACAGGGAATACAGGAGAGGACTCAGCACACAGCCCTGAGGGGAGCCTGTGCTGAGGGTCAGGGTGGAAGAGCAGGTGGAGCCTACCTTAACTGTTTGAGGGCGGTCAGTCAGGAAGTTCTTAATCCAGGCACAGGTGGAGGGGGGGAGAGCGATGTTGGTCAACTTGTCCACTAGGATATCAGGAATAATTGTGTTAAATGCCGAGCTGTAATCTATGAACAGCATCCTGACGTAGCTCCCTGGCGGCTAAGTGCTGTGTAAAGAGCTGTGTCGATGGCGTCTTCCGTTGATCTGTTAGCTCTGTAGGCGAACTGATGTGGGTCCAGGTTTGAGGGGAGCCAGGACTTGATGTGGTGCAAGATGAGCCTCTCAAAGCATTTCATGACTACTGACGTTAAGGCAATGGGTCTGTAGTCGTTGGAGCACTTTGGGGTAGAAGACTTTGGTACAGGAATGATGGTAGCTGACTTCAGGCACTGGGGGATGGTAGCCTGTGACAGTGAGAGGTTAAACAACCTAGTCAAAACTCCAACTAGCTGGTCAGCACAGGCACAAAGTACTTTTCCGAGTACACCATCTGGACCGGCTGCTTTTCTGGTGTTCACAGTCTTCAGCACCTGCCTCACCTGATGTTCCTGGAGTGTGAGTGTGCTGTTGCTGGAGGTCTGTGGTGGCTGTGCTGCTGTGTGTGGTGCCTCAGTCTCAAAGCGGGAAAAGAAAATATTCAATTCCTCAGCAAGCGATGCTTCAGCGATGGTGGTGGTGACGGGTGTGGGGCCTTTATAGTTAGTGATGCTCTGTAGCCCCTGCCACACCAGCCGCGTGTTGTTGTTGGCGAGGTGATCTTCCACTTTCCTTTTATAAGCCACCTTAGCAGCTTTGATGCCTCTCCGCAGCTCTGCCCTCGCCACGTTGTACTGTTCTTTGTCACCTGACTTGAAGGCATGGTTACGGGTTCTCAGGAGTTTCCGGACATCCGAGGTCATCCATGGTTTTTGGTTGGGATATATCCGGATGCGCTTCTCCACTGTAACACTGTCGGTGCAGTTCTTTATGTAAAACAGAACGGTCTCTGTGTGCTCCTGTAAATCGAGATGATCAAATATGCTCCACTCAGTGCGCTCAAAACAATCTTGAAGCTGAGAGAGTGCTCCTTCAGGCCAGATTTGAATGTTCTTTGTGGCAGGTTTGGATTTCCTCCTGAGAGGGGTATATGCAGGGACCAAGAGCAGTGAGAGATGGTCCGACATGCCCAGGTGTGGGAAGGGTACTGTCCTGTAAGCTTGCTTCAAGTTGGAATAAACATGGTCAAGTGTATTCTTCCCTCTGGTTGAGCACTGTACATACTGTACAAAGTTAGGGAGTACAGACTTAAGGCAAGCTTGGTTGAAGTCCCCAGCCACAATCAGAGCTCCCTCTGGGTGGGCCTGCATTTGTTTGTTTATGGTGGCGTACAGTTGAGAGAGCGCTGTGCTAACATTAGCATCTGGTGGAATATACACAGCTACAATGATCACCGTTGTGAGCTCTCTGGGCATGTAAAAGGGTCTACACTCCACAGTCATTACTTCTAAATCCTGGGAGCACTGTGTGTGTATGACCCGATTTGCTTAAATCATTTAGAGAATTAGATGTTAAAACAACACAGAGAGCATGGGTAAATAAACAGCACGATTTCAATCTTAGAGAATCTCATCTCTCTTATTTTCTGCCCTTCCTTTGTTTCTTTACCTCTTCTCCATCTTCTTCAGCTCCATTCTTCCTACTGTTTTACATGAAATAATAATGTGTGTGTGTGGGAGAAGCAGGCAAACGCAATAAAACACATAGCTGACAAGATCTTAATTGAGCTTCTGGATTCAGCTCAAGAACACACAAAAAAATCTAATAAGAGCACAGCGAAGTGAGGGAAGGAGGAGGGAACGGGATGGAGGGCATGGGGAAATGTATTAGTGGGAGGAGAGGTAGATGGTGAAGGAGAGATGGTGAGTGGGAGTGTAAGAGTGTGTTGGTACAAAAGTTAAGAGGAGACCAGGAGGCCAGAGAAAGGTGAAGATAGGTAAGAAGAATACAACTGAATGTTCTCAGTCCTCTGAGGAGATGCACGAATCTCACATCATCAATAATACAAGCTAAAGGTTGATCAGTCAAGCTGACATTGAATTAATGGATTGAGAGAAACACGAGGAGAGGAAATGTGTTGAAATTTCTGCACTGGGAAGGAAGATTAAATAGAAGAGGCACTTATAATCTGTAATACTTTCGGATTCAGAACACTTTCTTCTGAGTGTGTGCAGTGTGCTTATATACTTTAGGAATGCACGTCTCTTTGTAGAACAGAAAATCCCAACGTCAACTGAAGAATTTTTTATCCTCTTAAAAAATGTATTCGCTCCCTTTGTCTCTCTCTCTCTCTCTCTCTCTCTCTCTCTCTCTCTCTCTCTCTCTCTCTCTCTCTCTCTCTCTCTCTCTCTCTCTCTCTCTCTCTCTCTCTCTCTCTCTCTCTCTCTCTCTCTCTCTCTCTCTCTGTTCCTCACACAGAAGAAGATGAGGGCTATTGATTAAGCCTGCTTTAATTTAATGTATCTGTCAGTTTTAATTGAACAAAGATAAATGAATCTATAATGTCAGTGGTGAAAGTGGGGAAGCTGTGGTATTCAAGCCACAATAATAGTCTGTTCTTCTTGAGGTTGACACAGGGGCTTGTGTACCCTAGCTTATCTATATAACACAAATAAACAGTTTGTGTGTGTAGTGTTGAGACTCTAAAACGAATAAAATATAATATATAAATAAATAATATATCACTCATCTCTCCTTGCTTTTCAGTCTGTCTCAGATTTGATATCCCTTTACCAAAATCAAATATGGTATAGTGAGTAGACTTGAGTAGACCTCTGCATATTCTCTAATTTTAATAAGAATATATTGTAATTTTCCTTAGCTTTTTCAGGACATTTATTTGTTTTCATTTGACAAAACCTTACATTCACAGCTCAAAAGTCAGGTTGCAAATGCACCAGGTAAATGGTTCACAGATAGATAAATGAATTAATTTGAATTTGTTTGTAAAATGCACAGTTTATCATATTGTTATTATTATTTCCAGAAATGATGCATTAAATTCAAAAGTGATAGTAAAGACATTTATAAAGTTACACAAGATTTCTAATTCAAATGAATAATGTTCTATTCATCAAAGAATCCTGAAAAAAGTGGTTTCCACAAAACATATTAGGCAGCACAACAATGATAATAAGAAGAAATGCTACTTGAGAACCAAATCAGCATATTTGAATGATTTCTGAAGGATGATCTGACACTGAAGACTGGAGAAATGGCTGCTAAATTCAGCTTTGCCATCACAGGAATCAATTGCATTTTTAAATATATTATAATAAAAAAAGAAAAGTTATTTTAAATATTTCACAAAAAGAGTTTCTTTTATAATCTTACCGACCCCGAACTTTTGAACATGTTGAGTATTATGCTACTTCACATAATACCACGACACGCAAGTATGAATATCATAGGTTTCTGTGCTGAATAGTGGCGACCAGTTTCAGTGTACTTGTTAAGCTATTGTGCCGTTCTTATTATAACTCAAGGTTGTTGTTACTGCTGTATCTCAATGTGAGTATGATGTTCTCAATTTGTTTATTAATTATGAAGCAATTATTCTCAATCCTTAAAGTTTCCACCCCATTGGCATTTACATTGACACTACAAAACGTCATTATTACTGCATGAAATGATGTATTTTGGGTGTGTGCTTGTTTACTATATGTCAGGATTATGCAAATCCTGGCATGAATTAAACATGAATCCAAATGAGTTCATTAAACTGATATTATTGTTGTTTGGAGTCATAGTTTCACAGCTTGTGTATGGGATTCAGAGTAATTAAAATAGAAATGATGTAAGTGTGTTTAAAGCGATGACAGTGTTTTTGAGCTTAGTGTCTTCTGTGTCTATTTTTCTCTCTCTACAGGAAAATAATTGAGGTGAAGATTATAGATGATGAAGAGTATGAAAAGAACAAAGCCTTCAGCATTGAGTTAGGAGAGCCTGTGCTGCTCGAGATTGGACAAAAACATGGTAAATTGTTTAAATATGTGTGTGCACATATATTTTTACATGTCTGAATGTCAATTATGCAATATTCAGAGCTGAATTGAAAGGACTTTCAAATTTCAATTACATTTCTGCACTTGAATTAAATTTAAATGGTGCATTAGGCGATTTCTGAGAAACGCTGTTGATATTTGAAATCACCGAAACAAACACGCCTCTACCCAAAAGCATCACACCCCTATATTGATAGCTCCACCCCCAAATTCACAAACACACTATGCAAACACAGGCACCTCCCCCCTTATGTCTGTATATGCCCCTCACTTCTGATTGGGTACAAGTGTGTTTTGGTTCTCGGTCCGATTCGCTTTCAACAGCGTTTCCCAGAATTTGCTTACTGAATTTGCTTACTTCGTGTATACAGACAGGAGCCATCTTTGGAAAACAGTCTCGACTAGTCAAACCACGAACGCCATTCATACAGTTCAGAAGTTCACTGAACTTTATACAGTTCAGCTCACTTAGCACGTCTTTCGTGGTTTGATTAGTCGAGACTGTTTTCCAAAGATGGCTCCTGTCTGTATACACGAAGTGGACTGTCTTTATCTTTATCTTCTTATTAAACGGTCTGTACACTTACAAAGTTCTCAATGCTTCGTTTTGCATGTAGGGACCCTCATTATGCTACTGTGTTCGTGTGGGGCTATTTTGAGCCTTGTTAGTGGTATAAACTTGCGATTTCTTTTTACTTATTATATGCCCCCATTTCTAGCGTTATACGCTAAACAGTTTTTAGAGATAAAACTCTTTACATTCGATTATCATGAAAACAAATGTCAGAGAATGGTTGACTAGGTACCAATGTTTTATTAGACCAAAGGTTCATTTTGCGCCGGAGTTCTCCTTTAAGTGACATAGCAAACCTGACACAGAATTGCAATCCGGATTTGAATTTTAAAGGATTAAAATGGAATAAAATTCAAAGAAATTCACGCAATGTGTATTTTTTAACTAGAAAACGAAAGTTCGAGTGTTGGCTTGCAATAATAATAAGTTCTTCAAATAAATATAGAAGTACTAAAATCTCTTATTCTTGCCCCTTTGCAAAATAAGCAAATGTTTATATCTCGCAATTCTGACTTTATTTCTTATTGTTAGAACTGTAAACTCACAATCGTGAGATAAAAAGTCGCAATTATCTTTTAAAATGTTTTATTCTGTGGCGGAAACAAGCTTCCATGCAAAATTGGTCAAATTAGTCATTAGTAAAGGTTACGTTTTTTGTGTGTGGACAACATTTGTGAGTGTGGATCTTCAATTTACCATCCATTATTCTCACAATTTCACACTTTTGCTAATCGGATTGATAGTAATAAGAGACTGCTTGCTAATTAGCCATTGGATCACAGCAGACGGAAACAGCCGAATGTCTCCTGCTTTATTTACACCAGCAGTTGCTTTTGTACCACTTTCTGCTGCATGCTCTCAGACAATAAAATAAATAAAGCGTGCAAATGAGCAGTGCTGTCGAAGCTGCAAATAAAATGATTGTGTGTGTCATTTAATGAGGAGAACATGAACAAAGTAATGAAAGATGAAAGGTTGCAGATAAAAGAAAGGAAAAGGGCTAAATTAAAAAAACAGAAGTGGACGAATCGAGCGTTCAGGATGAGCAGTGATTACATAATGCTCTTTTAAGCTTAAAGACGTATTTTTAATGGAATGAAAATGAACTATTTCATTTCAAATGAACTATTTCTATTTCATGAATTTTCATTCATATCATTTCATATCCTTTGGCTTAGTAAATAATGTGCACTGTAAGAAATATGTTTACAGTAAAGTATTCGATACTATAATACCTGCAAGCTGTGAAGTGTATTACCTCAGGAAAAAGTGGGCTGTCTCAATATCACCTCATGTTAGCAGTGTGACTTGAGGCTATCACTATTCTCTACATTATTTATACAGCCTTCTCCGCCAATGACCCTTCAATCATAAACGCCTTATTTTGCAATTCAATTAGCATAGTGTCGCTCATATAAGATTTATGAAATTTCCTGCTTGTCAGTTTTAGAAATTGAGAAGTGTATCTTTCCATCCAGCCATCAGTCACAGTTATACTGTACCTGGTTATTTTCTCTGATTATCTTCATGAGATTTAATATCTACATTCTATAGCTGGAGAAATATAGGCAATATGTTTCTGATATACTGTCATTCTTTGTCTACTTTTTCATGTTTGTGTATGTGTGTACTGTAGGGGACTCTAATGAAAATAAGCCGGAGATTGGGGCGGATGAAGAGGAAGTAGCTAAAATGGGATGTCCTAGTCTGGGAGAACACAACAGATTGGAGGTGGTGATTGAAGAGTCCTATGAGTTTAAGGTAGAACTTCCTCTATCTCCCTTAAGTTGAGCAACAATGCAAAATGAGTTACGGAATATTGTTATTTAGCAATGCATGGTGATTAATGTGAAATATTTAAGCAGTACCACCACAGCCATGCTAATATTCAGTATTATTGTGAGTGTGAAAAATTCGCCTTTGGCTAAGCCACACCCTAGAATGTAGATTGACCAATCACAGCGCAGCCAAGAACGAGCTCCCACAGAGGTCCGACACTTTTTCACAGCGCTCCATTGACTTTAACACAGGCGTCTCATATTTTTGGTCTCGGCAGGCTATTACCGTCGTAATTTTATGAAAAATATGGTTAAACTTTGTGCCTGGGGCATTTGTAACACAGATACGCGTTTCCCAGAGAGGTTGGAGGGGGGTGTCCGTTTTTTTCCCTTCCCAAACCGAATCCTGACAAGTGTAGCTCACGCTGCTAATAAATACAACGTTATACTCGCGTAGTCCGTTTGCTTTATAATAACAAATATAGAAGTCACTGCATGAACAGTGTTGCTCCTTGATATTGTTAGTCCCAGCCTCCGTCTCGATTAGTAGGATATGCTGCGGTGGTTCATTTTTTGACTGTGACCGGTATGCTTTCGTTACTTTTGCCTCTATTTGGATGCCTTGTTGTTCCTTGCGTTTCACCTGTATGTCATGAATATAGCCTTCGAACGTATATTGCAGCCCTTTTGCCTACTTCTATCGGACACTTTATTTGCTGCTTTATAAAAGTTTGATAAAATTTTAGCAGGAAGAGCTGTCACAGCATAAGCCATGTTGATACCAGAGCCCAGATGAAGTTTGTTTGTCGGAAGTAGCAACAGTAACTAAGGGGGGCGGGGCTTAGCCAAAGGCGAATTCAATATATATTTATATATATATAAATATAGGCTATATATATATAAATTCTCCACCAACAAAATAGAAGTTTACTTCTAACTGGAAAAGTTTTTAAAATGTGGCTGCAACTGTGTGTGTGTGTGTGTGTAGAATACAGTGGATAAGCTCATTAAGAAGACTAACCTGGCTCTGGTAGTCGGCAGCAGTAGCTGGAGAGAGCAGTTTGTTAGTGCTGTTACTGTGAGCGCAGGTAAGCTACTTCCTGTTTGTTCATCCTTTATATTTTGTCACATTTGAGGCACCTGTACAATTATGAATATGCATTAATGTGCAAAGACACATTCAATAACTGCAGCAAAATAAGAAATGATAAGAAATGTTTCTTTAGCACCAAATCATCATATGATTTAAGATTTATGAAGGATCTTGTGACTAAGACTGGAGTAATAATGCTAAAAATTCAGCTTTGCCATCACAAGAATATATTATAAAACATTTTAATATATATTTAAAATATATGTTTTTCCCTGGTTCTCTGTAATATACATTATAATATATATTTTAAAACACATTAAAATAGAAAACAGCTATTCTAAATTGTAAAACAAATATGTTTGAAGTATGTTCCCTGATCTTCGATAATAATAATGTTAATTAAGTATTTTGCACAAATATAAAACAGTCATATGTTCACAAAAACATGATTATTTATAAAAGTCCCGGGGAACACAGGCTGGGATCATGACACATTGCATAAGAATCAGTATCAACACCCACTCTCTGTGTGTTTTGAAAACATTATCCAGGTAAAAGCATAATTTACATACAAAGCATTATGGAATCTTTTACTTATGATTTACAATGTAATGGCTGTCAGATCCAATACAGTTAGCTGCTACAAAAAGTGACAAAAAGAGTGCAAAGATGTTCTTTTACGAGTCACATTTTCATACAGCTTTAATTCTCTAATGCCCACTAACACAATCTACTCGTCTCTCTGTGAACTCTCAGGTGATGACAATGAGGAAGAGAGTGGTGAAGAGCGTCTTCCGTCCTGCTTTGATTATATCATGCACTTCCTCACAGTCTTCTGGAAGGTTCTGTTTGCCTTCGTCCCGCCAACAGAATACTGGAACGGATGGGCATGCTTCATTGTGTCCATCTGTCTGATTGGTGCGTTGACAGCGGTCACAGGAGATCTCGCTTCTCACTTCGGGTGCACTATTGGTCTGAAGGATTCAGTCACTGCTGTGGTCTTTGTTGCCTTGGGGACATCTGTCCCAGGTAAGTGTCCAAGTTACCACATAATACAGAGAAATAGTTTCTCCTCTCTCTTTACATGTAAGAGAGAATTCATTAATTCAGGGATTAAATTAATGTATGAAATAATAAATCCAATTTTAATCAAAGAAAAATCTATATTTTTACATTTTCTGAAGAACACGTGAATTGTGCTTCCACATTCAAAACCCTCCTGTAGTATGCTAGTGTTGTGGATAGTTTCCAGTCTGTGTGTGCGTTCATGTTTTTCTATCCCAGTGGGGACTTATGGAAAACAAGAAACTTATGAGGAAACAAGCTTATAAATCATACAGGAGGAGTTTTTTTGTTTTGTTTTTATGTAAAAATGCAGAAAGTTTTTCTGTGATGGGTAGGTTTATGGGTAGTGTTAGTGTAAGGGGATAGAATATACAGTATATACAGTATAAAAACCATTACGTCTATGGAGAGTCCCCACAAAGATAGCGAACCAGACGTGTGTGTGTGTGTGTGTATGTGTTGTTTTTGACTAGATGATGTGCAGTTTGTAGGATGTTCTGGGTCGTTGAGCCTAGCCTAAGTCTCTATAACCTAGAAAGCACCACTAGTACGAACAGTAATAATGTATTTAGTGTTTTTTATATATGGTATTTTCCATGTAGTATTACTTCTTTAAAATGTCTAATAATAAAATCATAATTCAGGAGCTCCATCACCAGTGTTGTTATTAACTAAAACTAAAGAAAAAAAAAAAAAAAATTTGTTTTCATTAATTAAAGCTCCAGTCCGTAACTTTTTGGGGTAAAATAAAAATTTTGAGCAAGTACATAACCAGCCAGTGTTCAAAACTATCTGCTTGCCTTAGCTCGATTCAAAACGGTAAGCTTGTAATAATGTGTTTAATTCCAGTGGTACTGGTGGATTTCAGCGGGAAATTCATGCATGTCTTTGCGTCATTACGTCACATCTGTACACATAAAGAAGGAGTCTCGGCTAGTAGGCTATATTGCGTGTGAGGATGCTGGAGGTGGAGATTTATAGCCTTTTCTCACAGCACTTGATATAATTAAACTTATTAATTTGATGGCGGATCCAGAAAGGTTCAAACGACAATCACCAGTGACAACCGATTCACCCGCTGTAAAATGCAAAAGACTTTGGACTTTGGAGTGGCTACAGAAAAAAAGAGACTGCAACCGGACCCATGCGAAAAAAAAGGATAAATATCGGAAGGACATAAAATGTACAGGTAGTCACGCAATGCTGATGTTAACATTAACAATTTGAGAACAAAGTATAATTTGCACGGTTTGACGTGATATGATAAGCAATCGTTAGATTTAATCAGCGCGATTTTGCAATGCTTAATTGGTCAGAACAAAAGTGGATGTTACTCACTTGTTCATAAATTCTTGATAAATTCTTATGTTGGTCATACTTCGAAAAAGTAGAATCTGTGATTCTGAATGCTAGTATCCACACCGGCGCGGTGACTGACAGCCTCACATTCTCCTCAAAACATTGTGTTCATCCGTGCTGTGCCGTGCCGAGGCACAACCCACGTAAAGTTGATAATTCCACGAATAACTGCAATTGCAGATTTCGAACGCAGATGGCGACAAAGAGGAAAAACTACGGACTGCAGCTTTAAAGTTGAAATAAAATAAAATATAGATATGAGATAAAAACTTAAAAAAAAAAAAGTTTAACAAAGTAGTAAAATGACTAAAACTAAGATAAATTAAAGCAAAACAGAAAAATTAACTAAGAATAAAAAAATAAAATCTAATTCAAAATATTAATAAATGCTATAGTAGTACATAAACAATACTAAAATAATACTTTAGCTGTGTCTAATTTCGAAGGATGTCACATACAGTACGTCATAAAAGATGCCTTATTTCAGAACAGTAACCATTATAAAATTGACTGTTATTCCTAGTGAAGCGTAAATAGTTTTTTTTTATTTTGGAATGTGTTGGTGAGTTTACTGAAATGCAGCAGCCTCAATGACGTACACGGCCTACAAATGCGAATGACAAATGAGAGCTATTTCTACACGGCTGTATTACCTAGTAGACATGTATTTTCATCATCGTAGACCAGGTTTATGATTTTGGCCGTGTGTGTTTTAGCGTGGCTTGTTATGTTTGCATCTGGTGTATCAGTACATGTCTGTACTATGTGTGTCTACTTATTTTTTCTTTGATTCTTTCCAGTGCACTTCACATGAACCCTTTTTCTTTTTTCTCTCTTCCTCCTTTTTATTTCTCTTAATTTTTCTCAGTTCCTCTTTTGCTTCTGTCTTTTACTTCCCACTTCAACTTTCAGTCAAATCCTGTTCTCTTTTTAATTCAATAACAAGATCTTGCAGTTCAAATTGTAATTGTATTAGTCTGATGATCATTTAATTATGTCTCTTTTTGCACAGACACGTTTGCCAGTAAGGTTGCTGCCATCCAAGACCAGTATGCTGACGCCTCCATTGGTAATGTGACGGGCAGCAACGCTGTCAATGTTTTCCTGGGCATCGGTGTGGCGTGGACCATTTCTGCTGTATACTGGCGTACCAAAGGCAAACCCTTCCTCGTGGAGCCGGGCTCTCTGGCCTTCTCCGTCACACTCTTCACTGCGATGGCTGTGGTGGCTGTCGCTGTGCTGTTGTATCGCCGGCGCCCCTCAGTGGCTGGAGGAGAGCTCGGCGGTCCACGGACTTGCAAGATATTGACATCCTTGCTTTTCGTTTGCCTCTGGCTGATCTATATCCTGTTGGCCTCACTGGAAACATACTGCCACATCCCTGGATTCTGAGGCAGCAAGGCCTCATATTATTTAAGCTTTGAGAGGAATATGAAAATGGCCACTGAAGGAGCATTTTTGTTTTGTATTTATTCGATATTTATCTAAGTCAGTTTTTTGTAATTTTCCATTTTCTTCCTTAAAGGGATAGTTCACCCCCCCCCCCACCCCCCCCCACCCCCCCCCCAAAAAAAGTCATCATTCACATCTTCCCATATAAAAAGTGATTTGTTTGAAATTTTAAGAAATGTACTTTTAGGGAGCAAGTAAATGATGACAGTTTTTTTTTTCTTCCATTTTTTGGATAAACTATCCCTTTCAATTAGTTTGAATGCAGTATCTTAAACATCTTTTCTTGTTCCCTTGCCTTACACTTGTATCCGTCTCTCAGTGCTGTCTTAAATTTTTCCAAACCTGTAACCAAATGACTTTCTTTTATTTATTTTTTACTCCCGTTTGAGCCAATCCGAGTTTTCGGTTACTAAATGAAGTGGTTTACTTTTTTGCTCTCTTTTTATATGTTATGTTTCAGTATTACTCTCGTGTAACTGTAATGGTAATATTTTAAAAGACATTTAAATGAACAGAGTGATCAAACATGAACTTTGACAGAACAGACTAAACAAACTGAATGGACTATATCTTGTGTAAGAAGAAAAGCATGTTTCAGGACTTAATAAGAATCGGACATATGGTCTGAAAAGCATGTCGAGTTCATAACTAATCATATCATGAATGAAGGCTGACATTGGAAAGTCAAATAGTAAAAAGGAATGAAACTCAAAAAAAGTGACTGGGAAATGGACTGGAATAATCCTAAAGAGGACGGAAGAGCAATTGGAAAATATAAAATAATTATAATTTAAACATGTATATAGTGTGTGTGTGTGTGTGTGTGTCTGTGAGAGAGAGAGAGAGAGAGAGAGAGAGAGAGAGAGAGAGAACCCAACCAAGAATAAGCAGCTCATCTGATGTTCTCTTGAAATAACAAACCACGTAATTGATGTAATTAGCTGTCTGTATCTATCTGTATTTGTCTTGTCCCATGATGGTCACGCTCCTTGACATCAAATGTTCCATTGGAAATACTAGCCAGTTAACATGATGTGACATTTGACATGGTGACAAATGCTCTTACTGACTGTATTCCACACTGTATCCCTTAGTTCAACCCAAAATGACAATTCTGAGCATTTACTCACCCTCATGTCATTCGAAACCCATATGACCCGTGGACCATATAAGGAGATGTTTAGCAGAATGCCCATGCCGTTCTTTTCTATATAGGCCGACATTCACCACCCTTACATAAAAGATAAATATTTCAAACGTAAATATAGTCGATATAGTAAGTATACTGAAATCAATGTACTTATAAGTTATACTACTTCACAAAATTAACCCATTTTTTAGTTTATAAAGTATACAATTAAGTGTAGTAAACTTTGAGTACACTAGTTCACATCTAAATTTAAATTTGTTATTCCAACTATACAAGTGAACTGAAGTTATCCAGTTAGTTCACTAGCTATAAACTTCTAGCCCACTTTTTAGTTTATGAAAGTGCACTTTAAAGTAAACTGCTAATTTTAAATAAATGTAATACTGCAAGTATACCTGTTTTCTTCAATTTTGTCTAAGTATGATGTTAAGTATACCTAAGTACATAAAAAGTATGCGACTGAAATAAGTATCTCTTATTTTTAGTTAAAAATAGTATACTGATAGCACACTTGAATACACTTTTTTTTATATAAGGACATGTGCTGTCATGCTCCAAAAAAAAGGCTAAAACTCACCATAAAAGCACTGCAAAAGTAGTCCATAAGAGTAAATACAAATGAAACCATATGGTGGAAGGAAACATTTTCAATCTGTTCCTTACACAAAGCTAAGTGTGTCTTCAGAATATAGCACACAAGTCACAATGACTACTTTTATAGTGCTTTTTTTTTAGGATTTCTGGATTAAAAATACGGGTTTAGAATGAAATGAGGGTGCATGAAAAAAGAATACACTTAATTGCAACAAACGCTTTCATTTCATATCAGTATTGGTTGTTTTATTATGTCTGCCACAGTGAATTTTCTGTCTATCTGTTTCTGACTGCTGTGTAATTATTCTGTGAGACATTTAAGGAGATGGTGGGAGGCTCTGGCATGCTGAATGATGGAGAGCACAGAGAAAGAATGAATGAGAGATTTAGCTGTAGCGTAGAAATTTAGCTCTCACAAGTAGCTTCTATCCTCAGTCTAGTACAGTATTCGGAGTGAGAGAAAGTGCAAACAGAGTATTTTTAGTAGTATCTTGTTGCTAGGCGACCCGCCCAGAGAGTCATTGTCTTGTCTGGGCCCAGTGACGAGTCCGTGTGGGGTGGGGGTGGGGGTGGGGTTTGCTGTATATGTGTGAGACCCACTTATTTAAGTCTATTTATGGCTTAAATCAGTGAATAAACCAATTGAACTTCTTATACTAACCTAAGTTTAGTGGGGGTTTCAACTGAACTAAAAAGACGTAGTTTTTTATAATGTGGTTAGCGAAAAGATAATCATTGAGATCAGTTATGATCGTGTAATTGACTTGAATTGATGATCATTAACGATCAGGCCAGCCCATGCTGTCACAAAGATCAACTATCATCAGTAATGAATCCCACATCAGACTGACATACAGCAGAAGACTGTGCACATAATCGCTTTATAGGATCACCGTTCTCTCTCTCTCTCTCTGTCAGGTTACTCTTGTAGCAATTGAAGTGCAATCCCAAATGTCACACTGAAAAGCAGCATTCGTAATTGGATTAAGCAGCCTGGCCAGAGAGAGAGAACGATAAAGAGAGAGATGGGGAATGTAAACACTTCCCCCAACTACACAATCACACATAGGCCTACCTGATGGAATTGTAAAGATTATGTGTGTGTTTTATAGCATTCTAACACTGCAAGAGAAAGTATGTATTTGTGTTGTGTCTGCTGGCCTCTTAATCAGTTTTGTGATGCAGTCGTTTCAGTGCATGTTTAAGTGTCTAACACGTGCAAAACCGATTACTGACACACTATGATGTTTGACCCTTAAAAACGTAGGAATGTCATTACATTGAATACAATATCAAACAGTGACAAGTGCAAACAAATGATGCTAGAGGTTTTCGAAAATGTTCATGTTCCATAAACATTATATCAAGTTCAATATCAGTATATCATCTTATTGTGAATAATTAATTTATGCATGTTTATTTATTTTTCGTCTAACCAACAACCGATGAATAGAAGTTAGAACCATGTTCTCGTCCGACATTTTTCTTTTTCGATCAAACGTTTCATTCAGATGCGTCACAATACAGAAAAAAAGATCTGTCGCTACTACCGTTACATCGCCACTTTTGATATTCGTTATCTAATGCAATGACATTCATACATTTCCAAGTGTGCCCTAAGTTTTCACTTTTTTTTTTGTGTGGGGAAGCTGTAAAAACACTAAAGCCACAAAATCAAAGATAAGCAGACAAGCGTGTGGTTCCTGTTGCTAACCCATCCTGTCGACCGCCTTTCTGTTACAGGAAAAAGAAACCAGGCAATGCTCAAATGTACGTTTTGTGTTTTTATTTCTTGGATTTGTTTGTGTGATTGGACTTCTGTGCAGCTTTGACTTTGGTGTGTACAGAAGATACACTAACAGAAGAGGTTAATATGATAATCTAACAGGTCATTTGAAGTGCCCTGAAGAAGTAGTTACCATGTCATCCTGTATCATTGTGTGTGTTGCCCTTGGCTGGACTCTGTTCTGCGTAGTCTGGTCCTTGTGTGATGCATCTCTCTGATCTTTCTGTTCACTAGTCTTTTGATTTTTCCTTCATTAATGTTTCGATTGATTTCATTGTTAATTTCTCAGTCTTTGTTTCGCATAATGAGTGAATCACCAAGTGCTTTTCTTTTCCTTTTACATAGCAGATTTTAGTTGGATTCTTCCTATTTTAATTTCTCTTCATGTCTCTTGATTTGATGCATGACACATCCGCTTGCCCTTATTAAATGTTTTCGAAATTGTTGTCCTAAAATCTTTTTTTAAAATGTCTTTTATTAAAAAATCTACACTACATATCGAATCACTTATTAAATGGATGATATTTATTTGTGCATACAACTTTTTTTTGTGCAGAAAAAGGTTCACTTCAGACAAAGAACATTCTCAGCGACCAATATGAATCATTGAATCATTCACTCAAACATTTTGTTTGTTTGATACTGAACTAATAATGTATGAACTAAATGCCACTACTGTGTGTTGGTGAGCAAAAATATACTAAGTAATAACTGGAAATAATTGATTTGATACTCACACCTGATGCGTTGTAGTCGATCGGATCACAAGTGGACGACTCTAAATACAGGTGTAAACAGGGTCTAAAACGTTTTGAGCTTGTCCACTTTTGGCCTCTTCCAGATGTAGTCGAAAACGACCAGATTGCTTTCGTAGTGTAGACGGCGACGCTCATGTGGTCGAATGTATTCAAACAGCCACAAAAGACCGCCTAATCTTCGCCTATTGACTCAACGCGTAAATATTATAGGAAGCGCGCTAGCCAGACAGGAGTTAAACTTTGTCAGCATGAAGACCCAAGTTTGGTTAAAAGATGAAAAACTTACCAAGCACAATGTTCTCTCACCATTCCTGATTTCTAACAACACCTAAAACACCAGGTGTAAACTGCGGTATGCGTCTCCCTCATCTACTTGTGATCCGATTGACCAAAACGCATCTTAATACCAGGTGTAAACAGGGCCTCAATATCAAAATCAATTATGCTGCTATAGTCTGAATATCTACATATATACACTATAGATACTGCTGAATATCAACACTATCCGCTTGTGGGGTGATGAATGCTGTTTCCGGGGCTAAGCCTTTACTCCATTTCAAGTGAGAGCAATTAATGAGAAATCTTCATTTATAGCACATCTTTCTTTTAAAAATTCACATCGTCAGTCTACAGTTTCCGAGCTCACTGTGTCCCAGACACTAATATTTGATTAATGATTCAGAAAAAAATTAATCCGTGTCTGGCCAACTAATCTTTCAGTATAGAGATGATAGGAGGAT